TCAACACTTGATAGTTTATAGCTAATTAATTCTTGGAAATAGCAAACACTTCTTTGTCATCCTTGATCTTCACAAAGTCTCCTTTCATCTTCTCAACTATATCGATGGTTGCCTCCATGCCGGCACTGTCCTGTGGCACCAAAGCTCTCATTTGTGACGAGCAAACCATCGAACTAAGCCTCACGACATCGACGACGTGCTCAGATATATCCTGAAGCTTAATCCCTGGCGGCTCCAACACTTTTGTACCAGGTTTCTTGTAAACCATGTACAGTACCATCTGAAGCACTCCAAAGATGAAACCCAGAACATTTGGCAGCTGGAAACATATGTTGAAACAAAACAAAAAACATTAGATTTCAACGTTAGCTTGAACATAATAAGAAATACAAAGATGAAGACTAGTAGACTTACGGCTACGTTAATGTCTTTAAGGAGAAGCCCGTAGAAAAACCACATGACAGCTGATAAGGTGAGGAAGAAGGAGAGACCGAACGGCATGAACTCTGCGCTCTTCGTTTTGATCACTTTCCTCTGTGTGTCATAATATTTAAGATTTAGTCAATAAGAAGAAGATTTTAAATCGTAAATAAGAAAGAGAGACTTACAATGATCCCAAGGGGAGCAACAAAAACACATAGAGCAAAGACCATACAAATGTATCCTAGGACTTTAACACGTTTAGTGCCATGACTCAGAAAGTATGTCAACACGAAGATGAGGCCAAACGCGAACACATCCACAAAGAGAACGAACTTCACCGTTAGAGTCTACCATATAGAGAAACACACGGTTCAGTTGATGTTTTAGTAATTCTTGTGAGTACATTCAAGAATCAATAATATGATTTATATCATGTAAAATAAGAACCTTTTCCTTCTTAGGAGCGTAGAAGAGGTAGAAAGAAATGTAGAAAATCTGTATGACGCAACAAAAGGTATTGATAGTGATGAGAAGTACTGCATGTTTTCTGATCAATGCGTAGTATATCCATAGCATCGCACTGAACAGCGCAATCACGTAAGGGATCGACTGATACCCTTCAGAAGATTTCCTCTTGTATATACGAACGAAAGTCGGTCTAATGTATAAACAACATGTATGCTTAATGCTTGAGTTAAAACGTTATCTATATAAGATGAAAGTACAAAAGAGTTATATATAGAGTACTTACATCGGGGCAAGGCAGACGAAAAAGGAGATGATATCCCCTACAAACAAACCATCGTTATGTTAAAATTTCACGATTTCGTGTAAATGCATGCATATTGTACGTATATGAAAACGCATTAAGCATGAGAATAAACAGATACCTAGAATACCAAAGACAGTAACCAAGACGGCTGGTGAAATTGCCATTTCTCTATCGCTCACAAAGTAGTGAAATGCTACTTAAGAAAAAAAGATAATTAGAAAATCTCCTTCTCTCTTCCTCTATGAAAGAGAATGCAAATGAACGAACGGGTTAACTCTACAGGATCATACTGAAAACCTGTTCAATGTATGATGCAATTGTTGATTGAGAAGTTCAGTGATTTATATAGGGAGGAGAAAAGGGTATCAACTTGCAAAATGCGTGAGAGAAAGAGTTTAAACTCAATGGGATGTATAGTGGAGAAAAAAGAATCAAAGAGCATTATCTCTACTTTACAGTTGTTTACTTCATGCCCCGGAAGGTTCC